TCATGACAGGTGGCCACTCAGGTTTCCAATGAACTTACGAAGATTGACCCAATAATTTTATTAGCCAGCCATGTACCGAGATATTAAAGATTATGTAGCAGCATGTGACACCTGCCAACGAGTCAAAGCCGAGACACTCTCACCAGCCGACCTTCTTCAACTGTTTCCAATCCCTTGCCAAATATGGGATGATATTTCTATGAATTTTATTGAAGGACTGCCTATCTCAAACGAAAAGTATACTATCTTGGTTGTGGTTGATCGTCTTAGCAAGAGTGCGCACTTTATCGCTTTGGTTCACCCTTACACCGCTAAGATCATGGCAGAAAAATTTGTGGACAATGTGGTAAAATTACATAGTATGCCTCATTCCATAATTAGTGACAGGGATCCGATCTTTACTAACTGCTTCTGGCAAGAGTTTTTTAAGTTGTCTGGCACCCAACTCCGAATGAGCTCCTCCTACCATCCACAAATAGATAGACAGTCAGAAGTTGTGAACCGCAGTGTGAAATAATATCTACAGTGCTTAAGCCACCAACAACCACACAAATGGAGTTATCTCCTTCCTTGGGCTGAATTTTGGTACAACACAACCTACCACTCCTCTATATAGATGATGCCTTTTCAGGCCTTATATGAGAGACTGCTGCCACCCATTCCCCGTTACCAAGACGGCTTAACCCTTGTCAATGAAGTTGACCAATAGCTTTGTAATCGAGATGCCCTCCTCAAACAACTTCGAAGTAATTTACAAGTAGCCAACAATTGCATGCAAGCCATTGTCAATGCCCATCGATGTGAAGTCGAATTTCAGGAGGGTGATTGGGTCTTTCTCAGGCTCCAACCATATCGGTAGCAAACGATTTTCAAGAGAGCCTTCCAGAAGCTCGCATGTCGATACTATGGGCCTTATCAGATCCTCTGTCGTATTGGCCCCATTGCTTACAAGCTTCTACTTCCACAAAGGTCGTGTATCCATCCCGTTTTCCACGTCTCCATGTTAAAAAAACATATTGGTGAAGCAATTTCCTCTACTGAAAATCTGCCTAAAATATCTGAAGATGGGGACCTACTACTGCAACCCCAAACCATTTTGGAAACCCGATGGATCAAAAAGGGAGCAAAATTTGTTGAAGAAAGTCTTGTCCAATGGAAGAATTTGCCCCAGAAAAAGTTACCAAGGAAAATAGCAGCAAACTAACAGATAAATTTGGCCACTTGAACCTGGAGGACAAGGCTTCTGCAAAAGATGGAGGCAATGATACAACCAGAAGATCAGCAAGGATCCCAATCAAGAATCCTAAGTATCTTTGATTCTGGTATCGTCGAAGCAAGCATAACTTCTTCAAGACCCTGTCAACTATTCAACATCAACTTATCCTCTGTTTTTTAATTTATTTCCAACATTATCTTATCTTTTAATTTTTTGAGATTATTTAGTTGCTACTTGCCATTGTGCTCCCTGGATAATAGGAAGAAGTTATTGTTTATCTTCCTATTTAAAGTCCCATCAGATTATGGATGAGACAAGTATTAATTAACAAGAAAATTATAATTTTTCTATTCCAAAAATAGAAACTTTCGTTTGCAATTTTTCTTGTGTTTTCTTCGTGTGTTTTCTAGGCATCTATCACCCGAAGAGATGGTTAATAAAATAAGTACCTTTATATGGATATATTTGAACACGTTTATACATATAAAGGTAATATGTATATGTGGGTTGTTGGGTGGATGCCCGTATACTCCAACTCATATAGGAATTCATATGCCGATGCATATGAATTGAAGATGGAGTGGGATGTTGAGAAGAATGAGCTGTGCTAGTAGGCGTAATTATACGACTTTTATACCCGTGAACCCCATGTAAGTTTATTATTGTTATTATTTTTAACTACTAAAATGTGAAGGAGACTTTAATTATCGAGACAAATATATATATATATATATATATGTATATGGAAAAAAAGTCGCTGTGGATAATAAATATGTAAATATATTTTTGTTCTTTTTTTTTTTCCAATCTTAAAATTCAAATTATGCTGTCGGTGGCATGGGAAAAAATTTAATACCTAAAAACTAGACTAGGCTAGTGTTTAAGAGTGTAGTGTACATATATATACATATATATATATGAGAATAATGAATAATATGAAAAAAAAAAAAAAAAGGATATTAAACGCATTAATTAAGCAGGTAATTATGAGGATTTATTTACAAATTGATGTGAAATGACAGAGATGAGTGCATGTGCAGATGAGCAAAAGTATTGGCTGAGAATAGATTGCCACGTGGCAGGACCACTCGGGTACCACGTAGCAAGTGGAGGAGAGACGTTGCCACGTACTTATCAGTTTTTTATAAAAATAAATTAAAAATTAAAATAAAATAAAACAGGAAACCAACTATCATGCCTCTGCTTTTTTATTTGATTTGCAACCTTAACTGCTTAACAAAGACCTGCACGTTGCCTTTGTCTCTCTTTTCCTTTTTAATTTAATAACAATCCATGTGGATTGTCCACGTCATCAAATTATCAGGATTCTACACTCAGGATTTTGCCATGTCAGCATGGTGAAAATTTTTTGTTATAATTTACGCCGAGTTTTACGGATTTGATTCTGTTATTTCACTATAATAAACAAAAAATTAAATTAAATTAAATAATGTGGGCCCACATGCGCAGTGCAGTTTGATTTCTTTGCCAAAAGCACGTGCTGGTGTCACCACAAATTCTCATTATATTATTTTATTATTTTATTTTATTTTATTTTATTTATGAAAAATAAAAAAAAATAAAAAAAATAATATTCGTATGAACTAAAATTGAAGGGCCTTGTTGTCCTCCAAGCTAGTGGAGCATAACAAATGTGACATGCTTTTGCTGCCTTATCCAAATTTGAATTTTAATTTAAAGGATCCCAATGATTTATAACAACCATACAATATATTGTTTATATATAAAATTTCTCATCAAATAATTTTTGGGTAATTTTATTAATAATTATTTTTAAAATATTATTAAAAAATAATAAAATATCACGATATTGACCTCATGTTCATGCTCACTAAGTTATCATATTAATAAGCACAGATAAAGCATGAATTAAATAATCCCAACTTATTTCAAACTCACACAAATAAAGGGTATTTAGTAATGTTTTGGATTGGTCAATGTAATTTCAAATTAAAATTTCAAGGGGAGATTGTAGAATCTAATTGAAAAAAAAAAAAAGTTTACGAATTAGGAGCACAAAAAGTCCAATGAAAAACAACAAATTTTACGTATTTTTTACTCTATTTTCTATTATATAATATAATAGGTGTCATTGTCCTCGAAATTTTTGGTTTTAAAGAGGCAAAGTAAACCTCTATATGGATCTACCTTGACCAATTAATCCTCTCATGAAATCTACCCAAAGAAAAAATGACAAAGGTTGATTAAAATTGTAGCATGGGAGAAATAATGATACAAAAGACATGCTTAATTGAGAAAAATATGAGATTTGTCAATGTCGGTACTTTATATTGTTCCTTCCTTCCTTTTTCCTGATTTCACGTTATACACACATATATTTATATTATAATAAGTGCATGGACCATATGAAATGTAATTAGTTTAACTAAAGAATCCAAAATCTTGGTAAAATAACGAGAAAACTAACAATTTTATAATTTATTAATATTTAAAAGTCATTTTCGAACATATTTATTTTTATGGTTTTCATCTAAATAGACGCAGGCAGGCAAGGTGTGTTCATCATCACCACCTCCATGAGGATCATAATGTTATGAATTTTTTATTCTTTTGATGATAAAAAAATATTTTTATATGTTGGTTCCTTTTTGACCGTTTGGATAAGTTGATAACTTTATTCCGATGCGAGCCATGGTTAACGGCCAAAACTACCCAATGGTAATCACGATTCCCGTGACATCAGAAATTACCAGGCATTTGGGACCCACCAGCTTCTTTTTTTTTTTTTTTTTTTTTTTAATATAACATCATTGGAAAAATCTCAAATGAAATATTTTATTAATTTTTAAGATACGGGTTATTTTTCTATATATTTTTTTTTCATTATAATTCAAAATTAATATTAAAATATACAGAGAATGATAGGTGGAGGTGAGTGGGACCCACTTTCATAGTTTAATTAATCACGCCAGTTACCCCGGCTTTAATTCCTTTATATACCTTTCTCTTCCCTCCATTTTCTCCCGTACTAAAACTAAACCCCACACAGAGAGAAGAAAATGGCAATCTCTTCACTTTCCCTCTTCTTCTTCCTCACCTGTCTCCTAATCCCAACCCTAATTTCCTGCAACTCCCCTGTTCAGGACCCAGAACTCGTAGTACAACAAGTACACAGGTAAATTCAAGTTTGCCTTCCCCGCCCGGCTCCACTCCAATTAATAATGGCTAGTAGCTTCTTTATATTATATAATGTAATGTGAAAAACGTGTCACGTTTTTATTGTATTCACCTGTGTCTACGTATCTACAGGAGCATCAACGAGTCGAGGAGGAACTTGGGTTACCTCTCTTGCGGGACCGGAAACCCAATCGACGATTGCTGGCGGTGCGACGCGAACTGGGAGAAGAACCGTCAGCGGCTAGCTGATTGCGCCATTGGGTTCGGGAAAAACGCCATTGGTGGACGAGATGGGAAGATCTACGTGGTGACAGATCCCGGTGATGATGACGTGGTGAACCCAAAACCAGGAACTCTTAGGTACGCTGTGATCCAAGACGAGCCTCTCTGGATCATTTTTCAAAGAGACATGACGATCAATCTTAAGGAAGAGTTGATCATGAACTCGTTTAAGACAATTGACGGTCGAGGTGTTAGTGTTCATATCGCCGGTGGTCCATGCATTACTATACAATATGTTACTAATATAATTATACATGGACTCAACATTCATGATTGTAAGCAAGGAGGGAATACTTACGTGAGGGACAGCCCACATCATTATGGGTGGAGAACGATATCGGACGGTGATGGTGTTTCCATCTTTGGTGGTAGTCACATCTGGGTTGACCATAACTCTTTGTCAAACTGCCATGATGGGCTGATAGATGCCATCCACGGCTCTAATTTCATCACCATATCCAACAACTATATGACCCACCATGACAAAGTGATGTTGCTAGGACACAGTGACTCTTACACGCAGGACAAGAACATGCAGGTCACTATAGCCTTCAATCACTTCGGAGAAGGTCTTGTCCAAAGAATGCCAAGGTAGTAGCTTAATAAAATTCTTATATGTATATATGGATATGACGTGGGGATCCTTTTCAAAATGTTGACTGAACTTTCTTCCATGTGGGTTTACAGGTGTAGACATGGGTATTTCCACGTGGTGAACAATGACTACACGCATTGGGAAATGTACGCCATTGGAGGCAGTGCGAACCCAACCATTAACAGTCAAGGCAACAGGTTTCTTGCACCAAATGACAGATTCAGCAAAGAGGTAAGCACTGAGCAAGGAAAATCCCTTTGAATCCTGGTTGTATAATGTTGTGAAGTGATTTTAATTAATGTATAAAATGAGGCAGGTGACGAAGCATGAAGATGCTCCAGAGAGCGAATGGAAGAACTGGAACTGGAGATCGGAGGGAGATTTGATGATGAACGGTGCGTTTTTCACTCCGTCAGGTGCAGGGGCTTCGTCGAGCTATGCCAAGGCATCGAGCCTGGGTGCGAGACCATCGTCTCTGGTTGGTGCGATAACCACGAGCGCAGGTGCACTCAGTTGCAAAAAGGGTTCGCGTTGCTGATTGTGACCCATTTGGAGAAAAATGCAGAAAAGAAAAGAGAGAAATTAATTTAATTTGTTGCAAGTGATTTGAATTGCAGTTAGTTAGAGAAAAAGAGGAGAGACAGTTTGGGGAAGATGAAAGAAAAAGACCAAGAAAAAGAAAAAGAGAAAGTCTTATCATATATGCTTTGGCTTTTTCTTCTTGGTAATTTCCCTCTTGTTTTCTCCTCTCGTAAACTTTCAACATTTACAACCTCGGCCTGTTACTCTCAGAACCATGTCGGAAATTCCTCTTCTTCATGGTCTTAGAGGAAGCAAGTGCAGATGTGTTGCTATATATATATATATACACTCTATTTATTATATGAAAATGAATGAAGTATCTTACTCTCTGTGTTAATTTATCTTGCCAAGAATCAATTACAAGTTATGAAGTGGTGTTTCTTGAACCAATTCAAATGATTATGAAATTTGAACAACCATCATAATGTATGTATATACAATATTATTATGTGGGTATGTGTGTGTATATACAGTTTACTCGTAAAACGGAAAGATTTATCTTTCACCAATGCAAAAACAGAGCATAGGAGGGAAAATAAAAGGAAGTGAAGTAGGACCCAGAAGAGATTTTTGGCGAATTTCGAAGAGGATTAGACTTTAAAATTGAAAACAGAAAAAGCAGGGAAGCATATCACATGCTGCTTTTTGCTTTTGCTTTGAGAGACTGGTGACTGTCTCTAATGGTCATTGGTTACCACTGAGTACAACTACATTATATATCCTTTGACAAAAACGGTTTGGAAATAAATGTTTTTACATTGGTTCCGTTTGTAGCGTACTTAAATTGTTGCCATTTAAAAGAAAAACAATAATAAAATTTTTCTTCAATTGGTAGATTTCTAATAAAAATCAATATGTTTTTATATTAAATAAGTCGGTGCTTAAAATAAAATATTAGCAAATTTTCAATTTTTTCTGAGATCAAATGAAATTTGTCCTCAGACTCGTAAAAAAATTATGACATGTTTGAGATTAATCGATTTAATATATAAATCAATAATTTATTTAACGAGATCAAATCTAATTAATATTTTTCTAATAAGAATTAAATAAAAGATTAGAATTTGTACCAAATTTTTTATTATTATTTTTTCTATAAAAAGAAAACATAACAAAAAAAAAACAAATAAGGCTAAATAGTTAACCAACCTCAAGCAGTATCCCAACAATCTAAATAAAGATGGACACGTAGACTCTCATGGGAATGGTCCAATCCGGTATTGACTATAGCATGTCATGAGCTCAACAAGCCAAGTGGACAAGACAACTATTGGTTTATTGATGAATATGCAAAATATGAATCTCTTAATCATTATTCAATAGTAATCTCAGGTCGTGTTTAATTAAATCCATACAGATGGAGATGTTCCTTTCATGATGACAAATAATCTACTCGAGGTATAAAAGATCAACTACAATGACAAGCTTCTTCCATTCTCTAAAGCAAGCTTGAGTCCTTCGATAATCCTATGTAGCTCTATCTGAATTGTTATGTGGATGTCGATGTTGTACATAAAGCCTTCCATCCATTTATCATTTACCTCCCTAATCAAACCTCTTGCCATAACTTGCCTTAAGTCTTTCTTAGCATAGCCTTTCATGGTGATCTTATCCCACCCATAGGGTCGGCCTTCAAACCCATCTAGAGGAACAACTAGTAATGGCCTAATAGAGAATGGATAGGCAAAATTATAACTCGATTGATACGCCAATAGAATATAAATGGTATTTGCATTCTTGGGGAGGTAATGCTTTCAGTATCAACAAAGGTGATCATATTTCTTTTCTTTTAAAGGAGTTAAACCATAATTAAAAAGATTACAAAAATATTTTTAACTCATTTTGCCATGAATAATGATATTAGCTTTTAAATTCTCTTTGAACCATCAATCAATAGAAAAAAGTATCTTATATCAATCAAATCCCTCAAAAGTTATTTTACTGAAATGTAATTATGAAGAATTTGGAGAGTATCTTCTCTTATAGTCTAACATTTGGGACAATCCTCATATTTGGTTAACAAGAATGTTCCTTATAAAAGAAAAATGGTAATTAAAAAAAACAAATAAATAAACATTTTAGGACAACTTTCACCAGCATTTAAAGAGAGTTTGAGAGGTGAACTACTCATAACCCACTTGCTGACTGGGATCTGGATATTGGTCTTCTTGATCTGAAATGTTAATAAAAATGTGAACTACATTAGCTTAGTAAGAATATCACACTAATCGCAAATACGAAAAATCAAAAGTTGTTAAAAATCAGAAAATAACTAATGAGGTACTTATTTTAAGTAAATACATTTAAGTTTAAAACTTTTTATTCCATACTTACCGTTACGGTTTTTTCAAAATCGACCTATGAAGACAAATAACTAAATGACATTTTAATTTCATTCATAGGATCACAATTCTTCCTTTTTTTTTACTTATTTACTGGGATCCCTAGGGGTATATAAGGATATCCCTTCACTCGTGAAGCTAGTATCAAGAATTGACAATTAACCTAGCCGTTCCCGTACCCCGTCCGGTAATGGATGCCAAAAACACCATCGCTTCGATATCCCATCCAGTATGAGAATGAATCAAATTTCCCAAAACCTTTACGGTATTGACTTCTCAGCCCTGTTCGACTGAGATAATATCCACGGTAGTGTTTCTTATGTACCGGGTCTATCTACCCTTTCCTAGGATGCCCAATAAGCTTTTTTTATTTAGATTCTCCACACAGCCACCAAAGCATACCAATGTTTAATGTCATATTTACTTTTCAATTTAAATGACATTTAAGCAAGTGATTTAATTTATCATAACTAATAACTAAATAATCAAATAACCAAATAAATCATGTAGGAAGGGACTAAATAACTCAGATAATCGAGAAGACTATAAAAACTATCAATGTAAACATGCACAGTATAATAGTAAACAATTTAGACAGTATAGAAAAACAAACAGAGAATTAAGATAAATGTGAACTAATCGGTTCCGACTCCACTAACTACCTGTAATATTTTTAAAGTTTTTCTAATTTTTTACAAAACAACAATTATCAATTATTAATCCTCAATTTATTGTAACTGAGAATATGATGAGGGATCATTACTAGGATTGATATTTTAAAATATCAAACTTTCTACTATGCCTCCTAACAAGTCTCGAATTTTCTGAATTTTTTTCTACAGGAACTAAAAATACTTGTCACGTATCTAAAAATACAAAAAAATCTAAAATCGGTGTTAAAACCCTTTTCGACCAATTTTAAGGTTTCGACATGGCAGTGCCATCGTGCTTAAGCGCCAGCTGCCACCCACAGCAGTGGTTCGTCTCGAATTGGCCAATTTTGATTAGTTTTGACCGGTTTTTACACACATCCCTGTGAAAAAACACGTTATGAAGCTTTAGTTGGCCAGAAAAACCAAAAAAATGAACATACCGGCGGGAGGAATCTCTGGATGCGGCAACTCTGTTGGACTTTGCCTACGATTTTTTGGCGGTCGGTGGTGGCTCTAATGTAGCGGCGGTCGACCTTCTTCTCCGACGTCTTATTCTTCTTCTCTGGTGGGGGCTGGGGGTTAGGGTTTGGGTTTCTCTATGAAGAGGAGTCTAAATACTCCTCTCCTCTTTGATCCGTGCCGTTCGTTTATGTTGACACTGAGCGATGAGAATCGTTCGATTGTTTTTCATTTAGGCTGATGGCGTGGCCGAATCTCATCCGTTAATTGCATTTAATCTCAATTGTCCAATCAAGCCTAAAAGAATAATGCATCTGGGTCATCAGATCGCTGGGCAAGTGGATTGCCCGTTGGCCTACCATGTGGCACCGACGTCAGCATTTTTTTACCACACGGCTCACCCTAGTTCGCCGTGGCTGCTGATTGGGCTGTTTCACGTGGCCAAATTTTTTCTATTTATATTTTAACCCCCTGTTTTTAATTTTTCTTTTAAAAACATCTTCCGAACTCAAAATTTCACCCATTTTTCCTAAAATTATTTTTAATTTCGTCCATAATTCATTTTTTCTGAAAACTTCAATAAAATTAAAATATAATAAATTAAATAATTATTTTATAAATAAATTAATAAAAAAATTATCCCAGGCTGATTTTTGAGCCCGGGTATTACAACTCTCCCACCTTAAGAAAATTTATTTCCTCAAATGGTCACTCTCTCACTCAGTCGAATAGCTGGGGGTACTGAGCTTTGAAGCTTGAATCCAATTTCTAAGTGGTCTCTTTCTGTGTATCATTTTACCATAGGACCTTGACGAGGAGAATTTCTCAATTGTGAAGTACTCTATCCTTTCGGTCTATAATGCCTACCAGCACCTTCTCATAAGATAGATCATCCTAAAGTGAAAGGGGCTCGTGGAACAGGATATGTCAGGGGTTTGGTTTGTACTTGCGTAGCATGGACATGTGAAACACATTATGAACTCTGAACAGCTTTGGAGGTAGTGTCAGTCTGTAGGCGGTCGCACTAATCTTGTCTAAGATCTCGAATAGCCCAATGAACCAGGTATTTAAATTTTTTCTCTTACCAAACCTGCTGATTTCTTTGAAATGAGTGACCTTAAGAAATACTCGATCGCCTTTCTCAAATTTCAAATCCCTCATCCGAGTGTCCGCATAACTCTTCTGCTTGCTTTGAGCTGTTTGGATATTTTTTCTGATTTTAACTATCTTAGTTGTAGTCTCCTCTACAAGATCTGAGGCAAACAATTTTCTATCGCCCACCTTTTCTTAACTGATCGGTGACTTACAGGGTCGACCATATAATGCCTCATACGAGGCTATATCGATACTTGCTTGATAGCTATTATTGTAAGCGAACTCTATCAAAGGTAAGTGATCATCCCAACGACCCATGAAGTCTAGAATACAAGTTCGGAGCATATCCTCTAGGGTATGAATCGTTCTCTCTGATTGTCCATCGTTTGAGGGTAGAATGCGGTACTAAGACACAGTTTCGTCCCCATGGTTTTCTAAAAACTAGATAAAAATTGAAAAGTAAACCTAGGGTCTCTGTCGGATATCACTATCACTAGAACCCCATGTAACTTGACGATCTCCTGGATATATATTCTTGCAAACTTGTCCAAGAGGTCGGTCATGTTGATAGCCAAGAAGTGAGAACACTTGGTGAGTTGGTTGACAATTACTTAGATAACATCATGTCTGAGCGTGTCTTAGGCAACCCTATCATGACATCCATTGTGATATGTCCCCACTTCCACTCTGGGATCAGTAATGGTTGAAGTAGCCTACCTAGGCGTTGATGCTCTGCCTTAACCTGTTGACATACCAGATACTTAAAAACAAAGTTGTTATCTCTCTTT